CCCCCCCAAAGTCTTAATTTGCCCTTCTTGTTCTTGAGTGAAACTCACGGAAACCATGGAAACAACTATTAACCTCCACTTTGGTGTTGTTGAGAATGCAGCAGATTGTTGATGTGGTCACTCCTAAAGTTTTTGTTCTCTCCAACTGGTTTTATTTTAGTTTTTCAGCCTAATGATACACTGCCTCTACCGCAGTGAGATCTCCTCGAGCCTTATATTTAAAATTAAAGTGCCAAGCTATAAAACAGAAATGTAACATTTTCAATTAACCTCTGATATGATGATCTCCAGATGGATCAGCTGCCATTAAATAAGAGAATAGGCCTCACCTGGCCATGAAATTGCTCATCAGTCGGCCGAATTAATTTGGAGCTTCTGGAAAAAAGCAGGTCATTGTGCATAAAAATACTGGTGACCACAAGTGCTGCCCCTCAGCCTCCTAGCAGACAGCTATGGAATCAATTTTAAAATCCTATGTATCAAATTCAGTAGATTTTTATAAAACTTTACCTCTGACCCCTGACCCTTAGGTCAAGGTCACTAAGATCCAAACTTGTCCCAAGATTTTAAGTAGATGAACCTACGGTATCATTTTAAACCTCCTACATCGCATCGCTTTCACGTTGTTGCATTCACAAACGTACGTGTCCATTGCCCCTGCCCACCTGGCAGGGTGACAACAATACCCCATTTTTAAGCAATTAAAAAGGTCCTTTTTTTAAACCCCATAATTTAAAAGGAGGAAATGAATTATTAATCAATATGTTTGCTTGTACTGACGCAAAAATATCATCACTGTCCAGAAACATATGAACCTAAGTGTACATGAAGTTGCACGGTACACTCTGCACTAATCCTCTGTCCTCTGTCCTCCATCCTCCGGCCTGCGACCTAGAAACCAATCTCAGTACGCCACGTTAAAGCGTGTCTCAGTTCATAATGTGCATCACACGAGCAGAGGAGAGAGAAGGCTTGTTGTGTCAAATCCTGTCTCCTTGTGTCTTTCCCTCGCCTCCTCACACCTTTAGAGGGAGGGATCAAGACACAAGGAGAGGAATCGATTGAGACGGTCTTAATTTTAATCATTTATTTATTATGTTATTGCAGGACACACTGGGTTTTTTAAATCTATGCATATGTTGATGCTTATAAGGTGATTTAAATTACATCATGTTTATATTCTCACACACTGTTTATTGTATTGATTTGGCAGAAAGAGACTCTACTGTGAGAGTGTGTTTGTTTATGTCTGCCCCTCCCATGCCTTTTTTTTTTTAATTCTCACTTCTCAGGGGGGGAAAAATCTTTGCTGACACAGCAGCTAGACTTTGGCTCTCTACCCAGCATGCACCGTTTTCGCCCTGTTTACATTACATAATGTAATAAACACTTGGAACTCCGATGTGAGGGATTCACTATGATATCACAAGCGAGCGACTTATCAGTTTCTGAATGGGGTGAGGCTTACCTCTTTGATGAGATGTTTGACAGGTCTCAGACCTCCGCCGACACCCCACACGTTGTCCAGGCGAACCATCTCCCTCTTCATGGACAGCAGCACTGCAGCGCGGTCTAAAGCCACTCTAAAGAAAAGGATCACAGTTAGGTGGAGGGGAAGGGTGGCAGGGGCACAATACAGCCTTTCTTACAACGCGCTGAACTGCAGCTTTCACCTGGCATGCTCACAGTCCACTTTGCCCTTGTAGCAGTCCAGGAATGACATGTGGAGGACGTGGTCTGCGATGGCTCTGGCTATAAACTGGCCTAACATCTGCAAGGAACAGGAGAAAAGATTAAGCGAACCAAGTGAAGCCAGTGTAACAAACATGCCCGACTAACATTTGTTTCATTATTTAGTTTTAGCTCTTAAATTTATTAGGCCTCTGCACTGCTGAAGGTGGCGATCTAGTATGCAACATTTTGCTGCCTAGTAATAGAGGAAAGATACAAAGAGCATGTGTAATATTTGAAGAGGATTTGTGTGCACCTTTGGGATAAAAAGGAGTGGTTTACACTTAACCACAGTTGATCTTTTAAGCCTGTTAAATCCTGCAGTGCCTCTCCACCCTCTGAAGCACACAGTTATATTTGGTAGCATATCTGTGACTGCTTCTTCCCATCATGCATCAGCTCTACCTGCGGAGCATCCGGTGTGTCCAGGATGAGGTCCGGGAGCTCTTTAAGCATCTTGTCGAAAGCTCGCCCCATCTCACTTTGCGACAGCATCTTCCCCGACAGATCAGACAGCAGGCGGGAGGTCAGTTCTCTGTGGCTCGCTTTGCCTTCGAGGGACAGGGACACGGCCAGAGAGGAGAACTCGTACTTGTGCTGGCCCAAATTGAGCTCCTTCAACAGCATCTGATAGGGTTTGGAGGGAGAA